CATTTCTGAGAGGGTTTTAGGGCAAGGAAGGTCCGCCGCGATGCCCCAATGCGTATTGGCGACCTCGATATGTCCTCGAAATATTTTTTTCTTATTTTTCAAATGCCGGTTTCCTCACGAAGTATTCTTTCACACCGAGCATGTGGTAAATCGGTGCTTCAAATTGCAGTTAACAATTTTATTAATGACGGCGGAGATCGAACCCGGATAGCTCGCGTTCTGTGAAATTTATAGCGAACGTTAACCATCTGAGCTACTACGGCTCCTTAAGTCCGTTTTTATATAATAATAATATATTTTATGTTAGATGATAATACTATTTAAATGAATACTTCAAATTTTACTTATGTAAGGTGTTATTACTATTTTGGAGGTATTTATATACCTCCAAAATAGTAATAACACCTTTATTGAACACAGATAACATGGATAATACCCGAACTAGGAGACCCTGTATGTTAAGAGGCAGTCATCTAATATTCTAATTGGTGACAAACTGGTTACCATATATATAGTAACCAGTTTGGTATGGTGATGGTAACCGACAAAAAGACCGCTATCCTATAAAGATCCTATCGCGCCTACATAGAATCGATATTGCGCTACGGGGTCCTACTATGGGGTAACAGTACGGACAAAAACGGAGCATTTATCGCCCAAAAAAATGCATGAGGGCCATATGTGGTGTTATACCCGACGTGTCCTGTAAACCACTGTATAAAATCTAGGATTATTGCCACTACCTTCACTTTACGTTTATGAAGTTGCGGTCTTTGTACACAAAAATATAGAATTATTTAATAAAGTGAATAATTATAGATTGAGAGATCCTCACAGAATGATATACAATGACACTTCAAGGTCAGATAAGTATGCAAAAAGTTGCCTCTGTATGTGTGTCAGAATATATAATAAGATTCCGAAACATATTAAAATGCTCGTATGTTTAAACATAGGTTGTACAAATGGCTAAGTCAGAATAATTTCTACAGCATAGATTTGTTTCTATCTACCAAAAACTTTACATAAATTGATATAAGTAGTTACAAAATTTTATTTTATTCAATTTTTATTTCGTTGACATATTTAGTAATAATTATTATATTAATAGTATGGATTGACATGTAATTTCAATGTAACATTCTTAAATTCAATATAGATATTATTATTTGCATGCTATCCTATACTATTAAACGAGCAATTCTTGTATATATATATATATATATATATATATATAAAATATATATATATATATATATATATATATATATATATATATATATATATATATATATATATATATATATATAACCGGGATCTCGGAAACGGCTCCAACGATTTTCATAAAATTTAGTGTCCAGGGAGTTTCGGGGATAATAAATCGATCTAGCTAGGATTTCTTTTTAGAAAATGTCTTTTTGTCCGTGTTTTTAGGCAATGAAAAACTGCTACAATATCGTTAGAATAAGAAGGTAAATTTTGACAGATTATTAATGATTATAAATAGCTTAATTGGTATAATGGGCGGTCACAGAATCGTAAAACCCCGGTTCGAGCCCCGACCGACCGACTTTTTTAATTTTTTTTTCAAGTTCCTTTCTTTTTTGAGAAAATCTATTTTTTCGAGCCCTTTTTTTAGTATTTTTTAAAAACACGAAAATTTAAATTAAAATAATTGCACTCATGATTTTTTATTCAAATAACCAGTTCCGTTTTTTCTGTTATGTCGCTAAGATCAAAAAATATTATTTATATTTCATCAGTATGTAATTTGTATCTAAATATAATTTCCAAAACACACGAATTAAAAAAAAATCGAGCGAAAAATACCGAGCAAAGCTCGGTCAACCGGGTACTTTTCATTATGGCAAAACATATGCGCTCTATCAAACTTGTATCAGCTTATAATACTGTGTTTCTAAGCAAATAAAGAAATTATTATTATAAGTCTTGAATTTGATAATATATTTACTTCTAACACACTATCTTTAAACAGTCGCAAATCGTTTAATGCGTGGTCGACAGTAGGAATCCGTAGGAGTAGACAAAAGTAATATGACGATGAAAGATCATATTATAATCATAGTGTTTCATTTAGTGATTATGTAAAAAATATTATAAAACATTTAAAATAGTGTGTTCAACATCCAAGTCCAATTGTTTCTTAAATATAAAATTTAAGAAACTATAATAAGAATGCCTTGAACAAAATGAAAATGACATGGAGTATAATCAATAGTGAAACTGGCAAGATGAAACTACACAACTCAAACTTTTAATTAAATATTAACAATAATTTAACGAAATCAGTTAACGATATTGCAATGGCTATTGAACAATATTTTACCAACATTCCGATCTTGACCACAATGTCACTCAATTTCTTCCCTACTGTCGCTGAGTCATTACTCAAACAAAAAAAGAATTTGCATTTCAAAATTGTAAAAAAGAATTTGAAGAGTAGAGAAGTTTTTGGTCAATAACCAAAAAGTTTTTTGTGCGTTCATCGACTTGGAAAAGGTTTAGGACCGAGTGGACAGGGATGTGTTATGGCAAACACTGAACTCATTTACGTTGCGCACTAGGTTGACAGGCATTAAAGTCTCTTTATAGGGATTCTAATGCTTGTGTTAGGATCAACGAGACCTACGGACTGGTTTGGCACCCATAAAGGTGTCAGACAGGACTGTGTGGCTTTGCCGTGGCTGTCTAACCTATTTATGGACAGTTGTTCAGAACGCGGGTTAAGTATGTGTAAGTTAACCGTCAAATGCCTTATGTAAGCCGATGATCAAGTCATATTTGCGTCGTCGGCGGCCGAGTTGCAAAAGATGGTTACTTTAATGAAAACAGGTCATTAAAGGAAGGGTTAATGAAAGTGTATGCAAGTAAGACGAAATTTATGGTTTTTGAAAGAGAAGAAAGTAAAACGATATGTGAAATAAGAATAGAAGGGGAGGTGGTCTAGCAAGTAGATGAGTTTGTACATTTGAGATGTGTATTAAGCAGGGGTAGGAGATATGATAAGGATAATACGCAGGAAATAAAGTAAATGTGGCCTACACTCTATTGTGGAAAGTCAGAATGTGTCAAAAAGACACGTTTGGCAGTTCACAATTCTGTGTTAGCCCTTACTCTGACGTATGTTAGTGAAAGTTTAGTATGACAGAAGAAGCAAGAGAGTCGAATAAATGCAGCAGAAATGCGGTCGTTAAGGACTGAATGTGAGTAACAGGGTGAGAAATTGAGTGATAAAAGAAGAGTCTGTTTGCAAGATGATGTTGTGAACAGGATTAAGAAAGGAACGCTTTGGTTTTTTGGTCATGTAGAATGAATGAGGAAAGAGTGACAAAACAAATTTATGTTGCAGAAGTGAACGGAAGAGTCGGAATGGGACGTCCTAGGCGAAAGTTTATCAATCAAATTGGCGATAATATATTAAAAATGGGCCAAATTAAGAATTAACTTAATCGACGAGCATGTATACATAGACATATGAATGTGAAGGAGACGAGAGAGGTATGTCAGGATCGTAGTAAATATAAGCCTGTATTCTCTGCCTACCCCTCTAACAAACGTGAGTGTTTATGATTATGATTACTGTCTATATGGAATTCCCATCAGAGTTTTGGAATAGAATAACGGTGTGTTTCGGAAAAATAAAAGGTCCACTTCACCTCATACATAGATTTTAGACAACCATTTATTTATATCAAAAATAAGGTTGGCCTGGAATACTGCCCTGTGGCACACCGTACCATATATAGGCACTTTTATCAAGACTTTTACCATATAATATATGACACTATTACCACATTGTTAACACATACAGCTTAATCTCAATTTGTTAAGTAGTCACGGAATCATTCGTAGTGTATATACCTCTGATACCTTACGATTTTGCAGTCGTGTTAGACTAACTGGCATAGAGAAAATATCAAATATCTTCTGTAGGTCTAAGAAAATTTTGTTCCATTTTTTATTTTTTTGTGTCTATTCCATCCGGAAACGCTACTTAGTTGTAATCCATTAATAACGATTCAGATGTCTCCAGCATGTCTTAAGAAGAGTATCATGCATTGAGGTGAGCCTAGTATCATTATAACCGGGTATCATTATAAATATCCAATGTAGTTGTGCTACAGTGTGCTGCAGTGCTGCATTTTATGCAGGAAAGAATCTGCTAGTTCTTCCAATTGTATTAAAGTATTTAATAACTAGATTAAATGAATTTGTCGGCATTCATATGTAATGACTTTTTTTTTGTTTTGATTATATTTACAAATATCTTTAATAAGTTTCCATGTGTATTTAACATTTTAAATGCTGGAACTTTATACATGGTAGAGTCACGCTGCAGCTATATTATGGTTATAGCATGAATGGGTCAGCTCGACCGGGGAAGGTTACGCTTTCACATAATACCAGCGTAAAATATTAGCTTAATGCTGATGTGTTTCGTGTGGTGAGTGTAGAAAACCGTTGACCCTTTTTACTGGAAACGAGGTATTCCATAATAATCCTCACGGGTGACAACGCACCTGCATTTTGATTCGTAATCGAGGATAGACATAGATGCCTATGGGCCACAGCAACCACTTACCATCAGGTGCACTGTGTGCTCGTATGTCACCACATCCTATAAAAAACTAAGTTCTTATTGGGAACATTGTTTTTCAAAAAACTTTATGAGGTTGTTACAATTATTTCCGTATTTCCTATAATACCATGTTAATTCTGCTGAACCAATTGTCTTTTTAAAACGTTTATACAATTCTTCTCTTTTCCTAATCTAATGGATTTTGTACAACTCCAGGTGCAATCCAAGGGATTTTTTTTCTTTTTAATAACTGATATTCAAGTTGTATTACATCTGTAAAACTAAAGTCGTTAATCGTTAACGTTATTAAAACGATAGTATTTTTCCCAATGCATTTAATTCATACCAATAGTTATTTTATTAAAGTCTAGTTGTTGTAACCTAGTCTAAATTATTTATTCTAAGAAGTCTTCTTCTTGATTTGGATCTTATGCTTTGAAACACATATCAATCTTATTAGATATATTATAGAGCATATAATAGCAACTAACAGCGCAAATAGATCTAAGTACATTTTTTGGAACCAAGGCATATGAATTGCGGGAGATCGATATAATGGCGCTCCACCAGAATACACCGTGTGTTCAACCCAGAATACCAGTTCCTTTCCCGGTGATATTGGACGATTATGGTAGGTAAATGATATCTCTTTCATCCTTTGATGATATCTGTAAGAGGTGGTTAAATTTTTAAGCTTTCAGCGCTTGCATGAATCATAATAATAATAATCCATCCTCTTCTCATTTCTGGGAGAGAAGGCTTTTCTAGATCTATGTAGACATTATGAGAGAGAATCAATAACACCATTTCGGTCCGTGGTGTGGCGTAAAAGGCATCTACAATGGAAGATGCCCTTATGCAGTAGTGGACTTTTACGGGACAACAATGGTGATTATGATGAGGAGACCACGTAGCAGGCCACACTTATACAGTGTTACTTAAAAAATTTAAACATTAATGGATACAACATTTTGTAACTCTCAATATAATAACATTTTGTGGCATAAGGGAATACGTTACAATCTATAAATCACATACTTACTATCTCGTAATTCAATATTCGTAACAAGTAACTAAAAATTAGAATACCAGGAATATTTGAGACTTCCGACTGATGGTTGGAAACTGACATATAAAATTCTATGACATATAAATACATCCGATAATACAGAATCATGAAGAAACAAATACCCAATAATACATAATGACATATAAATAATACATCCAATAATACAGAGCGATAATGACAAAGTTCCTAATATGCAAAGCCTTAGCTACTGTGATTGTCACCCACCTGCTGAGCGTACCTTACAGAAAAACCCTTATAGAGATGTGTTACGCCATCGTTTGCCAATTTCTTTCATTAAGAAATTTGATTTATCATTTTTTTATTTCTCTATTCTAAACGAATCGATAAACACTCGTTTTAAAGCAAGTATCTTAGTCCTATTTAAATCAAAGTAATATCCTTATACTTACTTCGGATTGTTAAGTATATCTTGGATTGCCTCCTTTATGTTTTCAGCTACATTTTCGGTGAAAGTAACTTTCTTAGCTATACCTCTGCTTACAGAATTACCAACATTGAAATGTTGATCAAAATAAAAGGGAATTCCTATAAACGGAACTCCAAAGTGAACAGCTTCAGTAATAGAAAGCAATCCACCGTGTGTTATAAATAGAACACAATTTGGATGAGCTGAAATGTTTAAAAGTATTAAAAAATCATCAGTTTTGTCAAGTCTAAGAATTCTTGATTTTTTATTAAGTCTTTTAAAAAAATTAGTTAAAATATTCATTATGTAGGTATTATTTATCCTCATTACCAATATAGCCCATCACATTAGTTTTATAAAAAGCTTATATGCTTATAAGCTTATATGTACATAGTAAATAACTTATCATCATTTATCATCTTTTCACAGCCTTTCTATCATAAGTCTACCTGCTGACCATAGGACACAAGGAATGCCACAAAGCATGGTCTTGAGCCACCTGCATCCATCGACTTGCTGCATGTCTTACCAGGTCGTCACTACAACTGGTCCGTCCCACACTTCGGCACACTCGACAGGCTGCCACTCGAGTTCTTTGAAATATATAGCTGGCCCATTGCCACTTTATTTTACTGATCCATTGCACTATGTTAGTTACGCTATTAGTTATTAGTAGTCATATTTTAATTTTAATATTTTTGATTGTTTGATTAATAATATTTAATACGTACCAAGAATGCTCTGTTGTGGAGCCCACTTAAAAATATGCACATTTTGGGGTTTATTCGGTAATTCTTCTTCAAATTTCCATACAACGACCTGCTTTAATTCACTAAACACTTTTAATAGAATTTGCTTAACTTCATCCGACAAATCTTTACTTTTCATATTAGACCCCAGACTAAAGAATATAACTCCATTCTTAGCGTTATCCACTACAACTTTTAAATCCTTAAAGAAACAAAAACAAGTTAATAAATTTGAATACTCATAACGTCAATTCCATATTAACAAAATGTCCATAATTTTAATTGTCTACCTCGGATAAAGGTTCAACCTCTCCATCTATGTTAAATCCCGCAATTGGTTTATAGTTCTGTGGTAGCCTAATCGCTTGACCAAGAGACACGTGTGAATATCCCAACATAAATGAAGCATTATGTCCGAGTTCATAGTAAGAGGGCAGAGTTCTGCCCCGTTTCGCTACAATTGGCTCAAAATTGTTTTGGTAACAACTTTCCTCATTGTTATAATAGAAACTGTAACACAAGAACAAATCATTTTAAAGTTTAATTTATATTCCGCCTCCTCTTTCTTTTTCTTATATCATTTTATTCTTTCCGGCTGGTATCCTGTAAATTTATTAATATACTCGTATTATAAAATTCAATGAAATTTGATGTCCTACATTCATCAACATTACAGCCCTTAACAAGTCTACTGATGAATATAGGCCTCCCCTAAAGAATACCACAAAGCACAGTATTGGGTCACCTTCCTTCATCGAATGTTTCAAAATTTTCTACATTAATTTCTTACAATAATATAAATTTATAAGTACATGATTATTTTACTCATGTTAGTCCTTGGATTTAATAACGAGTCCGAATTTTTTTTTGCTTGCTGCTGGTGATGAGAGGGATAGCTTTTTTCTCGATCAAAGGCTAAATGTAGCCATTCAGCGGTGAGGAAAAACATCGTTAGCTTTAGTCAAATATTTTATTTTACTTAAGTGCAGGTTGCACTTCAGTGAAATAAAATGTTTTGAGGGCATACGACGTCCTGCAAAGCGCAATCGGACAGCGCTGTAGACTAACAGATCCATAATTATATCTCCATAAAAGACCATATCTCATTAAAGGGGAGAGGCCTGAGCTAATCAGTTAGACGTATGTAAATTGAGGCTTAATTTTTACATATACACACATATATATATATATATATATATACAACATGTAACATAATTAACGCACTTTGAGAAAGTAGTTTGTTCAGAATCGTTTACTGAATCGATTCCTATCATTTTTAATATAGGTAATTTTTTATCCCAAAAATAATTAAAACTACGTAAATTACAGTCATACTAAATCCGTACAGTCAAAACAAACTGAAATGAACCGTAACTTAAGGCAATAAGACTTTTAAGAGTGCAGTTTTATTTGTATTATTACTAATTCTGTCATTCAGTGAAAATAAAGAAAAATGAACTTTATTTCAATCATATTAAAGTCTTTGCGTTCGTGGATTTGTACTGTGACCACGACATTCTTCCGGAATTAGTATAACTAATTTGATAAATAATCAGTGCATAAAAATGTTTAACTAAAAATTCAGTGTATGTATTATGACTATAACCTAATATACTAATTGGGGTGTCTAGTGTACGTATAATATACGTATACATATTGTAATTATATATATATTGATCAGGATTTACTGGGGTAATATGCCATACAACATTTAGTCCGCACTATATAACACTTTTAAAGAATGTGATGATAAAACTTAAATAAATAATTATATATATTTACTTACAGCCTATTCTTTATTGTTGTCATAATTTGAAACGATAGAGAAGATGCTCGCTGAATAAACGTAAACGGCGGTACATCGTTTAACTGTATGTTTGCCGTGTACGCTGGATTAGTTGCTTCGTCGATCAAACTTAACGCCACGAAGTTGGGTTCGAAGGGTAAAGACCAAATGTACGGGCAATTGAATACTGCTGCGAAACTGCAAAAATGAATGTTGCATTTGTTTATTTATATTTAAAGTACCACTGTCATACATGGAACCCTAATAATTTTTTCTCTCCCTCTACCTTATTAATCTTACGAAGTATTATGAATCTTTATCTAATCATCTTATCTTACATCATTTTTACCTTAATGATTTACATAATCACAACCTATAGAGTTTTTGACAGAATAGGACCAAAAGTTTTGTAGTATATACTTTTGAACTTACATTTTAGTAGCATTTACAAAGCTGTAAGCCATTACATCTTAGTCTTCAGAGGTGACAACGCATATGTAGCCTTTTTAATTGAAGTTGTTTGCATTGTATCCATGGCTGCATTAGCTATTTACCATCAGGTAGGCTGTATGTTTGTTTGTCACTTAAATTTTTACAAAAGTAAATGTTTATACTTTTTTTAAATATATCCCAATTTAAAGATGTACAGGTATGTAAGGTGTAGATTACGTTTAAGCACGAATGGTTCAGCTCGACCTACTTCATTCTATGTCTGCATTACCCCAAGGTAGACTGGTAGAGAATGTCTCAGTTATTAAGCCCGCTTATATATCACGTGTGTATATTAAGTATTAAATAAATAAATTATACCCAATTACAATGAGGTAACATACTATATCACATACCCACTGAAAACTTCATTGAACATCCATTCAGATACAACAACATCAAACTGTTCCGAAAAATCGTTGACCAGTTTTAGTACCGCAGGATTTTCCAATGTCGATCTTGTAACATTCATTACAATATTATGAAAGTGTAATTCTTCTTCCACGCTTATCACCTTATTGATTAGAGTTTGTACGCTTAGGCGCTCGGCTGTAATAAAAAAATTTCGGAGATTTATAGCAATACTTTGAACGAGCAATTCTTGTATTACAGATTATTTAGCAATATACGCCTAAATTTGCAGAGAAAAATAAGTAATATAGGCGAAAAATGAAGACGAATTAATTAAAAATATCTCAAACATTCTGCCCTTTTTATCTTTTAAATTCATAATATATAGTAATATTTTTTTACTTATTTTTATTCCTAAACATCTAACGCCTGCTATTTTACTACGCACGCATACATTTGTAAGGGCTGCTCGGTCGGCAAAAACGTTGTGAATTGAATTTTACACAGAGGACCGCATGTACGCGTAGTTGTTGCCCATAAACCACAATTTTGAATAATTTCAAATAAAAGTAAATGCCTTACTTACTCGTATTTTCAAAAACGGCAATAAAGATAAAATCATTATTTATATACTGTGTAAACTCTATATAGCGCCACCCAGGGGACTGTGCATGTTTTAATGTTATAGAGAGTTGTCGTTAAATGGAACGAAGAAAAATCTGTATTAGAAACACTTTTTATTCAATACACAGTGATTTTCTTTTACTTGCCGTGTTTAAAGTTTGAAAGTTTGTGAAAAGAATATAATAACATATAGATAATTCATGACTTCTACTAACAACAGTCTACACATGCAAGCAATCCCAATTTGTAAACAAAACAACGGATTTCTTAGAGAGTTTGATATGTTTGATGCCGACTGAAAAGGAACCAGAGAACAAGAGAGGTCGCTTGTTCCGGCTGGTTCAGCAGCGGATTTCCTAACCTCCTATGACACCTACGTTGGGTTCGGGAACAACGTATGTGAACCCCGCAACGGAGTAACACACAAGGGCGTCGACCTCTTCCTTTTCTTCAAATAGGTTCAGGCGGGGATTACGGGTCTTCCGAAGTCGTCCCGGTCCCAACGCCTTAATTCTTCAATATGTGCCGCAATAGCGACACCAGTGGACTGTATTTTACTTTTTAAAGGTGAAGGATTCCTTGGGAATAAAACAGTAATTATCTTCAAACCGTTCCGTGAGAGAGTAATTACTTTCCCTATCACTTCCCTATACACTTTTTCTTTCTTGATTATTATATATACTGCTGGTCCCGAACGAATTGTAACGTTGATTGTCGTCTTCATGCCCCGATGAGACATGTAGGGTTCGGGCCTCGGGGTATGCCCCCATTACCCGTGCTATCCTCGCGGTCCACCACTATGGACCGGTCCTTGGAGCCTACGAATTGTAACGTTGCTTGTCGTCTTCATGCACCTAAATGCATGTAGGTATCGGGCCTCGGGGTGTACCCCATTGCCCGGATAGTCCTCATGCCCCATGATTATGGGACAGTCTTTGTAGCCTATTCTTGGCGTGGATGGTACTACGGTTTATACCGTAGCCGGATAAGATTTTTCCCGTAGTTCAAAAAAGGAGGTTATCGATGGAGGTTATCTAAGTTGGTCTGAGTTGGCCTTTCAGCGGCATTGGGGGTTGTTACTCGACTCTCTAATCGATATAGAGAGGAGTTCTCTTGGAAGAGGTCGCCCGTCCGGGGGCCGAGTGTGCAACGGCGCAAAGCCGTTGAGATGGTCATGTGGCCCGTTGTCGGCACGATCAAACATGCCGCGCGCTAGCCAGGCCACGAAGTCGGTGATAGTCTCGACTTTCAGATCGGCCGCTATCACGTCGTTCCGGACGTAGCGACCTGCTCCGACAATCGTCCTTAATGACAGGTTCTGCTGAGCCTGCAGTCGCCGCCTCAGAGGGTCGCTCAGAAGCGCGTACCAGCCGGCAAGCCGGAGCAGCGTAAGTGGTAATGGTCCGGATATACATCTTGTATATCCGCAGTTCGGCGGGGGAAATGAACCACTCTCCTGCAAGAGGCAGCGCAGGCGACGACAGGAACTCCTGTACGCGACTCTCCTTTATGGCATGGAGCTCCATGAATTCCGCACTTGCAGGATTCGGCATAAATTGCTCCTCGAAGTGCTCTCCTAGGATATCCGCTCTGCCCTTGGCATCATAACAGCGTTCGCCCGCACTGTTGGTCAGCGGGCAAACGGGAGGTCTGGTTTTGGTTAACTGCCGGTTCAGTTTGTAGAGCGACGCATTATGCTCATCCGCCTTCCATATGCGCCGCTCCCAGGCCTCTCCTCTGAAGGCCCGGACTGCAACCGACAGTTCCTTTGATAAGGTGTTGAGCTGCGTCTTCAGTCTTGGGCAGCGAGTACGCGCCCAGAGCTTCCTTAGCGCTCTTTTGCGCCTGATCTGCACGCATCTCTCGCGGCAGATCGTCACACCTTTCTGTAATCGGGACGATCGTAAAGGCCGCGTGGAGGGCCTCCTGGATGTTTTTGGTGATTCTAGTAGCAGCGGCCTCTACGTCGTCCGCTGTACTTATAGGTTGGTAGACTGGAGGTCTCGCCTGCAGATGTTGTTAGTAGAGCCTCCAGTCGATGCGTGTCTTGAATGCTCTGGGCGGTTTAGTCACCGCCTTAGTGCCAAGGGTTATCAAAATCGGGAGGTGCTGTGAGCTCAGGTCGTATAGCACCTCTACCACTACTGGGTAGATGACGTTCCTGGAGAGCACGATGTCTAATACATCCGGATGTTGCTTCGGGTCTGTCGGAACGTTAGTTGGTTCTTCGGGACCTAAAACGTCGTAATTGTTCTCCTCAGCGTCTTCGTATAGTGCATGACCCGGCGGGGTGATCACTCTGGACCCCCACGCCGGGTGTTTGGCGTTTAGGTCCCCGGCGTTTATAGTGGGTGTTTCGCCTTCCATCACCGTCCGGATGTCTGAGGAGCAGAATGGAGTCCCTGGCGGGCGGTATGCTGCGTAGATCCTTAGTTCCTCGCCCGCCACCTCCATTCTTATGCCGATAGAGCGCATAGCCTGGTAAGGTGGTAATTCCAGCTCTTGATGGACGATGTCCCGCCTCACTAGGACCGCCGTCCCTCTGTAGGCGGCCCCTTGAGGGGTGACTTCGTCCCTTCTGTATAGGTGGTAGTTTGGCAGCTTAATATGCGTCTTAGGATTTAATTTTGTCTCTCCCAGCAATATGATGTGCAAATCCTGTTGCTGGGCGACTGTGCGGAGTTCATGCAGCTTCTGCTGTATTCCGCCCGGGTTCCAATAGAGGAGGCGCAGATTACTCTCCTCCGTAATGCCGGGCTAGTAGATTTGCCAGCGCCTTCATAATCGCCGTCACTGGATCTGTCCCGGCTCTGATATCGGCCAGGACTTGTGAGCCGACCGCGATGGCAATACCAACCAAACGTTGTATTGCGTCTGCTGTCTCGAGGCCGGCGGCAGGTGTTCTCCTATATGAAGGCGTTGGCAATTGTCTCGGGTGTGGCTGGTCCTGGTCCTGCCCTCTTGCCTTGTGGGTAGAGCGCGCTCTACCTGTAGAGCGGGCTCTATGTTCAGGTAGGGCCCTTTCTGGCACTCTACCCATGCTCTTGGTCGTCTCCCGAGTAATCTGCGCCTGTGAGGCTACTGGTCCAGATGGTGTCGGGGTAGAGGTGACAGCCTGAGGAGGCTGCGACTTCTTTCTGCTCCTCTCCCGCCTCCTCTTCTTGGAGGGTTGCCGTTCTGTGGCAGAGTCGCCCCGGTGGTTGCCCTTGTCACTGTGGGTTCCACCGTTTCCTTAGGTGTTACGGGTGGGGGGGAGGGCTGGTTGCCTGCCCTTCCCTGTGATGGTAACCCACCCGTCTTGCTGAATGGTAACATCTTTTGGGCGACACTGGGGGATCTTTTTAGGGTCCTCCGAGAGTAGCCCCGGCAAAGTAATCCGCTGCCTCCTAGCAGTCCTCCGCAGGACTGGGCAGCGGCGGTCGTTAGCCGTGTGGTTTTCGCCACAATTGGCACACTTGGGTTCTTCCTCTCTACCCCGAGGGCAGAGGATCGCAATGTGCTCCCCGGCACAACGCACACATCTCACTGGCCTGAAGCAGTCAGTTAGCGGTGGCGTGCCCGAAGGCCTGGCATCGGTGGCATTGAGCCGGTCCTGCTTTTCTCTGCCAGGCCTCGATGGCAACCCCTCTCATAAAGAGGAGTTCGTCAACTTTGCATAAGTCCTGGAGCTGCTCCAGGCTCAGGTGATCGAGTTCTGCAAAGTAGATGCAGCCAGGTCTGCCTCTACGTGGTGGGATTGCCTTGACGTATTTAATGGGGAAGCCTTTTGCCCTTATATCCTCCTCTATTGTCTTGGTGTCCGTGCCCATTGGAACGTGCAGGGCGCGAATAGCAAACACAGTGTTGGGGGCTTTGCGGTGTGAACCGTACGCCTTTCCCGAACGGACGGGCATTTAGAGGGTGGCCCAACATTCTGTTGAGCTCCTTAAAATGCCTCGTCCAATCCGGTAAGCATTCAGCCACTATAGGTGGGTATCTGGTTTTCTCCTGGTCAGCAGGCTTATCAGTAGGCACTGCCCCCGGTTGTGGTCGCGGTACTGCTGGTGCAGCTACCATATGGGCATAGCTGGTAGATGGTCGTTGACCATCATCCTGCGGGAGCCCGGACGGGTTGGTTGTTGCCACCGGCGATGATCGGCCGGCGGATGCCGCGAGGGTAGCATAAGTAGTTGACCCCCAGCTGTATGATTCCTCGCCCCCCTGCTCATAGTGGGCCGAATCTTGGCTTCGCCAATCCGGTGATATAGAGCGGGGGTTGTGGTGGAGAGGGTGATTTCGGTGGTGTTCTGAGCACCTTCTTCGTCGTCACCTGGTGGTATTCCTCGTCTTCCGATGTGGATGGTGATTCATCGGAAGACAGCTGGGAGCCTATCCGTTGCCTCTTTTCGTATAAGGAGGCTTCGGTTTCCGGCGGGGTATGGCGTCTAGCCGTTTTCTTAGCCCGCTGCTGCTGGGGCTACGGTTCCCGCCTGACCGTGTGCTCAGACACGGCCGGCGTGAGCGCGGCGCCCGATGCGGGCTCCTTCCGCGGCGAGACTGGTTTCCTCATGGGAATCTGGGAGAACGCTGACACC